CACGCCTGCAGACACATCTGCAGACACGCCTGCAGACACATCTGCAGACACGCCTGCAGACACGCCAGCAGACACATCTGCAGACACGCCTGCAGACACACCTGCAGACACGCCTGCAGACACACCTGCAGACACGTCTGCAGACACGCCTGCAGACACATCTGCAGACACGCCTGCAGACACATCTGCAGACACGCCTGCAGACACATCTGCAGACACGCCTGCAGACACACCTGCAGACACGTCTGCAGAATCCACACGGTCCTTTTAGCTTCAGGCCTGCAGCGTTGATCTGCACCAGAAGGAAATGACTGAGAATGGAGCCCGGAGCTGTTTCAAGCCTGACGCCTCRAATCTCAGCCAAATATAGCCCCGACTTTTTATTTTTTCTTTGTTTGAACAAAAGAAAAAAAAAACAATTCTGTCAGAGGAAACCTCCAGGGCTTGTCGTGAAAATTCAAATGATCTTGAACTGACACGAGAAAAATGAGTTCAAAAGATGCAAACAGGCCGGTTTACATACGTTTTTTTTATTAATATGCTAATATTCTGTGATCAAGGTGAGCCGTGATGTCTGAAGTTGCAGAAGGACTGATGGAGGAGACAGAGGAGATGGTGGAGGAGATAGAGGTTTTAGTGGAGGAGGTGCTGTGAGTATTCCTTTATTTGTTCTTTGAAGCAGTTTTATTTTGAAATATCTCTTTTTCTTCCAAAGCTCGACTCATTGTTTTCATTTCCTTTTCTTAAAGGGAAGGTGAGTAAAGTCGGAGCGTTCTTCTGCTCGTTGGGAAACAAAGCGTCTCTCCTGGCTCGTGTTTCTGAGCTGGACTGACCTGATTGTGTCAGCCGAGGCAGAAACGTGACGGCTGAAGCTTCAGCTCGACTCCACACCTGTTTCCTGTTCGCACGTCTGCTGTGGACGATGAAGAGCTAGCTGAGTGCTGACGCCTCACCTGTTTTGTTTTTAACAGAAATTAACACGTCGGCCCATTTTAGTGCTTTGATTCGTTCTTAAAGTTCTGAAGATTTTATCCAGTTTAAATGTTGTGATTTCAAGCAGCTGCAAAACAAGAATTAACTGTTGCTTTAAAGGGAAGCCCAGTGATGAAGTGATGTTCTATCAAATATTTATCAAAAGCAAAGAAGCTGTGCCTTCAAAATAAACAGTCAAAATCTCTTTTTTACTTCCTTATGAAAAGTGATGCAGGTGGAAATAAGTTTATAAGAAGTGAGTTTTTAGCTGATGCTGCTCTTTCAGCTGATTTTTGTCTTAAACTGACAACATTTTATTCGAACTGAGAGAAACTCCATTTTCAAAGTAAATGCTGAAGGAATGTTGTGGAGAAGCTAAAATTGAGTTGTATCAGTTCTACAAGAATACTAGCTGAAACGAGCATAATGCCAGCTAGAAGCTAAAAAGAGTAGCATTTGAGCTAGGAGCTAAAATGAACAGAATACAAGCTAGAAGCTAAAAGGAGCAGAGTACCAGCTAAAAGCTAAAATGAGCAGAAAGATAGCTAGGAGCTAAAAGGAGCAGAATGATAGCTAGGAGCTAAAAGGAGCAGAATGATAGGAGCTAAAAGAGCAGAATGATAGCTATGAGCTAAAAGGAGCAGAATGATAGCTAGGAGCTAAAAGGAGCTGAATGATAGCTAGGAGCTAAAAGGAACAGAATGATAGCTAGGAGCTAAAAGGAGC